ACAGCTCACAGCAACCTCCAACTCCCGGGCTCAAGCGAGTCTCCTGCCTCTGCCTCCCAAGTAGCTGGGATCACAGGCGCCCGCCACAACGCCCGGCTATTTTTTTGGTTGCAGCCGTCATTGTTGTTTTTGGCGGGTCCGGGCTGGATTCGAACCAGCCACCTTAGGTGTATGTGGCTGGCGCTTTAGCCACTTGAGCCACAGACGCCGAGCCTTTAACTCTACTTTATAACAAGAAAACCAATGCTCAAAGTAAGTTTCTCACAGAGAACAAGATTTTGAAATCCAGGCTCCCTGACTTCTGCCCCATTATTTTCGAACACTACACTTCCAGTAAGTATAGTTTTGTTAGCAGCTGAATTGTTGGTTCATACTCAGTACTGACAAGTATTAGGTTTAACCTGATGACTCTTCAGGTACTTCAAAGGGTGTGTGGCAAATAAGAGACCACGCTGAAGGGAAAGAGAACTTGCTTCACGGCTTGCCCCACGTACGAAAAATGATGAATCCAGAGGAAAAAAGCACAGCGTGACGTCCCCGGACTCTCCCCGGTGATTTCACTAAGGAAAAGTGATCCCCTTCTGCGCTCCGCCTCCGCGACTGAGCCCGAGGGAGTGAAGAAAAGAGGTTAGAAAAGATAGTCACTCACAGCAGGGTCTTCCTCCTCATCCGCCATCCCATCAGCCCGCCAGCCTACAGTTCCCCGCAGGCTCCCCCACAGCGGGTTCCACTACTTCCGCGGACCAACTTCCGGTGACCCGCCGTCCCGGGGCGGGGCCTAGTGGGGCACGCCTTCCGGAGACGCGCATGCGCATCGGCCTAGGGGCGGTGCCCAGACTGTCCCTAAGGAGGGAGTGTTGTCCTTGGCTCTGTAGTGCTGAAGGAGGAACTGAAAGCTAGCAAAGAAAAGGAAATCATGGGCTAGCAGCGTGTGTCTTGTTACCCTAAATTCGCTTCTGCATGTTGAATCTTGGCTTTCACATTCGGGACTGCGAAGCTATGGGTCATAGGAGGTTTGGCCCGCGGTCCACAGTCTGGCTGAAGGTGTTACATGGTTTCAAAGAATTACGGTTCCACTTCTTATTTCCAGGCGCTGTGTTAATTATTGGGGGATACTGTGCTTCACTACGAGTTTCAAGTGGCTGGTGTCCCTAGATTGAGAAAATTTAATATTTGTGGGTAAGGTTGTTGGCTAGAACAATGACTGGGAAAACCATGAGCATTAGAAGGCTAGAGCTAAGGGTATAAAATGTCCTGCAGTGTAACAGATTATGCCACAATGAAAATCCCATATCGTTCGTATGCACGATTTCTGATTTTTTTTTTCGAGACAGAGTCTCACTTTGTTGCCTTCGGTAGAGTGCATGGCGTCATAGCTCACAGCAAACTCCAACTCCTGAGCTCAAGTGATCCTCTTGAGTCACTCTTCCAAAGTAGCTGGAACTAGAGGCACCTGTCACAATGCAGGCTAATTTTTACAGACGGAGTATGATTCTTGCTGAGACTCCTGACCTACAGCAACCCACCCCTCTCAGCCTCCCAGAGTGCTAGGATTACAGGCGTGAAGCAGCGCCCAGTCGATTTCTGAATATCCTGCTGAAAACTGAGTGAAAAGGTTAATTACCTGACGCTTGAACCTGTCTTTGTGAACACACAAACACAAAGCACGTTCCTGTGCTTTTAATGTATGCTGAATTTTCTAGGAACATCATTACCCCCAAGGTGGTTGATATATTGTACTTTATTTGTTTGGGACTCTAAGAGCTTTTGGACCATTTCAAATGATGTCACCAAAGCCAAGATCACCCACCAATCAGTCTGCATCCGTAGCTCCTGCATTCAAGGTGAGTCTACATATAGGTACAAGCATCTACTTCATTACCCCCTGTGTAATCGTGCTTGAGTATGTGCATATTAAAATATAGATTATTGTCTTTGTTCTACCTTTATATTACAATTAGAGCATTATATATTTTAAAATTATGTGAGTAGGCAGGTATGTTACATATTTATTGCTGTGTAACAAATTATATCCCCTAACTTAATGATTCCAAACAAACATTTATCACACAGTTTCTGTGTGTCAGCTATCTGGACACAGTTTAGTTGGGTACCTCTGGCTCATGGTCCCTTGTGTTGCAGTCAGGATGTTGGCAGGAGCTGCAGTCACATTTGAAGTGTTGATGGTGCAGGATCCATTTCCAGAATCATTCCCAGAATCATCATTCATGCAGTGTTAGAAGGATTCAGTATGTTGGACTAAGCCTCTCAGTTCTTACTGTGGTGCAGATGTCTCTCTCAGTTCCTTGCCACATCGCCCTTTTCCTCTCCAGAGGGCAGCCCACAACATAGCAGTTGCCTTCCTCCAGACAAATGAGAAAATCCAAAAGACAGAAGTCACAGTTGTTCTGTAGCCTAATTTGGAAAATGACATCGTATCATTTCTGCCCTATTCTTTTCACTGTAAGGGAGTCAGTAAGTGCCTCTCACACTGAAAGAGAGGGGATTACGTAAGGATGAGAATATTATGACAGGGAGATCATCAGGGTCTAAACAGCAGTTCTCAACATGGGAGTGGAATGACCCTTTCACAGGGGTCACCTAAGACCATCCTACATATCAGATATTTACATTACGATTCATAACAGTAGCAAAATTACAGTTATGAAGTAGCAACGAAAATAATTTTATAGGCTCAGTGCCTGTGGCTCAAGTGGCTAAGGCGCCAGCCACATACACCTAAGGTGGCTGGTTCGAATCCAGCCCGGGCCCGCCAAACAACAAGGACGGCTGCAACCAAAAAATAGCCGGGTGTTGTGGTGGGCGCCTGTGGTCCCAACTACCTGGGAGGCTGAGGCAAGAGACTCACTTGAGCCCAGGAGTTGGAGGTTGCTGTGAGCTGTGATAGCACAGCACTCTACCCAGGGGGACAGCTTGAGGCTCTGTCTC